CCAGGGCTGAGTTTTAACCTGAGTTATTCATCCTCACTGCATTCCAGAAGAGCTACAAGCATTTGTACATAGATGTAATGTCATTAAAAAAAAAAAAAGTCAGGCCGGGCGTTGGTGGCACACGCCTTTAATCCCAGCACTTGGGAGGCAGAGGCAGAGGCAGGTGGATCTCTGGGAGTTCTACAAGAGCTAGTTCCAGGACAGCCTCCAAAGCCGCAGAGAAACCCTGTCTGGAAAAACCAAAATTGGCCAATCCCCTCTATGTATATGTATGTATGACAGGCAGGGGAGTAGCATCTTGGATGGATCCAAAAATTACATAAAATCCTTTTAAAAAATTACATTTCTTTTTTAAATTTATTATTATTATTATTATTTATTTTGGTTTTTCGAGACAGGGTTTCTCTGTAGCTTTGGAGGCTGTCCTGGAACTCACTTTGTAGACCAGGCTGGCCTCGAACTTAATTTTTATTTTATGTGCATTGGTGCTTTGGCCATGGGTGTCAAATCCCCTGGAGCTAGAGTTATAGACAGCTGTGAGCTGCCATGTGGGTGCTGGGAATTGAACCCGGGTCCTCTGGAAGAGCAGTCAGTACTCTTAATCATCGAGCCATCTCTCCAGCCCCTACACAAAATCCTTAAGAGCTTCATGTACCCAAATAATTAAGAACTACAACCTGAGGAGTTAGGAAAGTGGACAAGCAGTTGAAAATACTTGCTCTTTCAGAGAACCCTGGTTCTATTTCACAACACCAACAAAAAGAGGCTAATATCCATGTGTAATTTCAGTCCATAGAATCTGATGCCCTCTTCTGACCTTCATGGGTACCAGGTATGAATGTGATACACATACATACACAGAGGCAAAACACTTATACAGGTAACATTTTAAAATCTTGGGGGCAGGGAAGGAGGAAAAATAATCCAGCCTGGCATCTTGGCACTTGTAATTTTAATACTTGTGAGGCAGGGGCGGAAGGGTCAAGAATTCAAGAACTACCTCAGATAAATGATGAGTTTGAGGCCAGCTTGGGCTACATGAGATCCTGTCTCAAGCAAAAGAAAAGAAAAGGAAATGCTAAAGAGATCACAGTGGGGGGGGATAGATCTTAAGTGGGAGCAATAATGGAATATTGTGACATGACTTAGAATGCACATGATATGAAAGCAAAAGGCAGGAAGGAAACCAGCCTGAAGGGGGACATGGAGGATGGAGATGGGCAGTAAGGGAGAGAGATAGAACAAAGAATAAACACAGCCACACTAGTGAAATCTATTACTTTATATGCTTAAACTTCTTTAAAAAGTACTACCTCCAAAAAAAGTACTACCTTAGGACCCTAGAAAAATTCCAACTTGACTCTTCCAGCATTATGCAGAGACACCACACTGTCTTTGTCCTTAAAGGGGAGGTCAGTAGAAACAAACATTCTGAACAATTCTAGTGACTTAGCTGGGCCTGGTGACACAGGGCAGTAATTTCAGCCTCTCAAGAGTCTGAGATAGTAGAGATACAAGTTCAAGTTCTGTCTAGGAAGACTTGTGACCTATGACCAACTCAGTGACCTTTTGTCTAAGATAAAAAGTGAAAAGATGCCTGGCATTGGTGGTGCACGCCTTTAATCCCAGCACTGGGGAGGCAGAGGCAGGTGGATCTCTGTGAGTTCAAGGTCAGTCTGGTCTACAGAGCTAGTTCCAGGACAGCCTCCAAAATAAAACAATACAGAGAAACCTTGCCTCAAAAAAAAAAAAGTGAAAAGAAAAAGGCCTAGTACTGGAAAAGAAATTCAAGTAATTTATAGAATAAGTTTGCTTTTAAAGTTTTGTTGTTTTCAATATAATACAGGCTACTCTTGTGAAATCTGTTTATCTCAATGACAGAAAGATGTTCCATGTATCGTGGGGCATAATGGCCTTTAATCCCAGCACTGAAGCAAAGGTAGGTTGATCCTCTAAACTCAAGACCAGCTTGATTTACATAGCAAGTTCAGGCCAGCTGAAATACATAGAGAGAACATGTCTCAAACAATAACAACACACAACACACAAGTAGCACATGGTAGACCTCAAATGTTATTTTCACATAACAATTTAATGTCACATGGGATTCTTGTAATAATCAATGAAATAAGCGTTTACTATCAGACTATGTTATCCAGGATGGGAGAGAAGGCATGGAGCATTCTCCATGTTTGTATACCCATAACTATGGCAAACTATACAAATCTGGTTCTGGTTTATAAAAAGTACTAAATGAATAAAGGCTTAAAAAATCAAAGCAGAAAAACAGCACCTTCAGAAATGAGGTGAAAATAGGAGGAACACTGGCAAGCTGTAGGTCCTCCAGAACTCATAGACTCTAGGAGAAACACTGTAAGTTGTAAGTTCCACAGAACTCATAGATTCTGGAAATAAGACCGAGGGTCAGAGAACTGCACCTACTTAAATTCAGTTTAGATCAGCTGTTAAGATCCACATGTAATATGAAGAGAAGATTATGGTAGAATTTCATTGATCTTATCTACAAATGTCTCTCTAGTCAAATTTAGAAGACAAGCCAGGCTTGGTGGCACATGCCTATAACCAGATATTTGGGAACAACATCGGTAAGACCTTGTATCAAAAGCAAACCAAAACAAACTTTTTCCTCCTTGGGACAGGGTTTTTCTGTGCAGTCCTGGAAATCACTCTGTAGACCAGGTTTGCCTCAAACTCACAGAGATCCACCAGCCTCTGCCTCCCAAGTGCTGGGCCAAACTGAACCATTTAAAGACATTTAAAAACTAAGACAGGAGGATTATGGTCTCAAAGGAAAAATCAAACATAATAAAGAAGTTCCTGGCATAGTCAACACTAGAATATGGGTCTGTACAGATGGAAAGGCTATTCTTCTTCAGGACTCATCTCTTTCCTTCCTCCTCAGAGAATCTGGGGGATCTAATATTACTCAAAACAATACACAAACACATATTTACTTCCACGCACACTACCCATGGCCAGTCCCTATTATCTCCCCAAATCCCTGTATCTAACAGGTTCCAACCCAACACACACACATCCTTTGCCTCTTTTTTTTTTTTTTTTTGGTTTTTACGAGACAGGGTTTCTCTGTATTGTTTTGGAGGCTGTCGGTCCAGCCTGGCCTCGAACTCACAGAGATCCGCCTGCCTTTGGCTCTCTTGAATCCTGTATTTCCTCAAAGTTTAAATTATAAAGTTATTGATGAGAGGAATAATATGGTACACCCTTTCCTTGTCTGTATGCCCATAGAAGCCATTGTCTTAACTCCAAAAAATGTACTTTTATTTATTTATTTTTTGGTTTTTTTTTTCGAGACAGGATTTCTCTGTATTGTTTTGGAGGCCGTCCTGGAACTCGCTCTGTAGACCAGGCTGGCCTCGAACTCACAGAGATCCGCCTGCCTCTGCCTCCCGAGTGCTGGGATTAAAGGCGTGTGCCACCAACGCCCGGCAAAAATGTACTTTTAATGTTGGGTGTGGTGGCATACACCTTAATCCTAGCACTCAAGTGACTGAGGCATACCAATTTCTGTGAATTTGAAGCCATCCTGGTTTCATAGTGAGCTCCAGGGCACTTCAGGCTATATAGGGACACCCTACCTCAAAAATAAATAATAAAAACAACCAAAACTGGGGCTGGAGAGATGGCTCAGAGGTTAAGAGCACTGACTGCTCTTCCAAGGGTCCTGAGTTCAATTCCCAGCAACCACATGGTGGCTCACAACCATCTACAATTCAGTCTGGTGTCCTCTTCTGGCATGTAGGTGGAACACTGTATATGTAATAAATAAATCTTAAAAAAAAAACCAAAACCAAAAGAAAACAAAACCACAGCCCAGTGAAGGTACTGTGGTTTTCAGACATTGTCATGGTGAGTTTGCTGAAGACTGCTGAACCTAGTGGGATTGGCTGTGTAGGATACTCCACATAAGAGGCTAGCAATATTCTTGATGTTATGCAGCTCCCTATAAATGCAGCTTATGGAAAACACACAGAATAGCAATGAGAAGCTGGGTACAAAGTAGAACCAGATGTTAAAAAACTAAAAGACATGTTTTAGATTAAGCAGAAGAGGTGAAGCTTCAGGCTGAAAAATCAACTAACTCTGGCCAAAAAAAAAAAAAAAATTGCAGTGGAAGCCATTACTGGAAGAGCCTCCTGACAACCAGTGGGAATGTCAATACGATCATCGATCTAATGTCTGATAGCTGATGGGAAACTGGTGTAATGAAATGCTATGGTTTTTTTTTTTTTTTTTGGTTTTTTGAGACAGGGTTTCTCTGTGGCTTTGGAGGTTGTCCTGGAACTCGCTTGGTAGTCCAGGCTGGTCTCGAACTCACAGAGATCCGCCTGCCTCTGCCTCCCGAGTGCTGGGATTAAAGGCGTGCGCCACCAACGCCCGGCATGAAATGCTATGTTAAAAAAATAAAAATGGGTAAACATACATGGAACATTCAAACATGACTTTTTGAAAAAATGATTTTAAGTATAAAAATTATAGGGTGACACAGGAGACTTCTGTGGGGGTGATGAAGTTGCTCCAGAACTAGAATATGATGGTGTTTTCATGACTTGTATTTGTGAAAATTTACAGAGTCATATAGCAAGAAGATGAAACCTAATGTCAACTTAAAAATTAAGATAAACAAAACAAAACAGAAAAAGGAGCTCCATAGTCCATCGGGTTTCCTCAGTTTGTTCAGGGACAGTCACAGTGCAGCACTGTTCTGTGTAACTTTGCAGTGGTAGAGATTTCATCCCTAATGGAGATGATGGGTACTGAAAATGTCTTTAGACATTTTCCTTTTTACTTCCCTGGAAGCAGAAAATCTATTCAAGGTTAAAGTTGGCATCAACAAGGAAATGGACAAATTAGTAGCAAGACCAAGGAAAGACAGATGAGAATACTAAAATTTAACATAGTAGACTCTCAAGTTTCCAAGCAAAAAACACTGGACCGAATAAGGAAAACGCGATTGCTTTAGAAGATTGTAGGTTTTACTCCAGCATCCTGCATGGAAGCTTATCTTCAGTATATTATTCTCAGCTTCCTACTCATAGTACTATCATGTCACTTGACTTCTACAGTCTTTAAGCCATTTTATATAACTTAGGCCTGCATGAATTTGGCCTGATATTGATGAATATATATTGTAAAATTAATAGTTCTATCATTGTCAATATAGTACTGTAGTGGCATCTTGTTTCACTAGAAGACTTGCAGTGGTGGCCACATCCTAGGGGCGTGGCTTCAGGTGTGCAGATGTGACCCCTTATAAGGAAGAGGAGGAGGGATTGGCTGGCTCTCTTGGGCAGTAGTAGGAACTTTGGAAGGGCAGAGACTGCATCTTTAGGAGCAAAAAGACTATGGTGGTTATTTGCTATTAATTGTGTAAGTGCTTCACTAATACTCATTAATCATTTATCTCGGGTCTTGTGGACTCATTTAAACCCCACCTTTATAGTACTTGAACAACTTCCTTTGGTGTGCAGATCTATTTTTTAATCTATTTGTAAGGCTGTTAGGTTCTCAGACGATACTTTTATCTTGGTGTCCCCAGAATATCTACCTTTGTATTATCTGACACCTAGTGGATACCCAATGTATATTTCCTGAAGAAACAAAAAACTTATTTTGAGCCCAGAAGGGAATGTGAAATTGTTTAGTTCCCAATTTTAAAGGAAGTTTACAACTTAGTGATATTTTATTGCAAAGCTTCTCTTAAAAACAAAACAGAGCAAAACAAAACAGAACAACCCCCGAGAATCTTAGGCTGGCCTCTGAGCTCATGATGTGAGGAAGACCCTCCTGCTTTTACCTCCTGAGTGTCGGAATAACAGGCATGCCTGTTTATTGCAATGGTGGACCAAACACAGGGCTTTATGCATACTAGGCAAACACTACCAACCGAGCTAATTCCCAATATAGTTTACTTCACAAATGTAAGTGGACAAGTAAGAGTGCAGAGGGAAAGAAACCACTACTTACACAATTAGTTGAGCTTTAATGCTAGAATATGTAAAGGTAGATCCTTCAATATCCTTTCATATTGCTGGGGTTATGATAGAAAACCTTATTTAGATAATAGGAACATAGGTCAGGACTGGGCATGGTAGCACATGCTTTAATTCCAGCACTCAGGAAGCAGAAGCAGGCAGAATCTTTTTGAGTTAAAGGGCAGTCAATGGAAATAGCCATCTGGGGATCAAACCCAGAACCTTGAACATACAGATTTCTAGGCCAGCCTGGTGTACAGAGCAAATTCTAGGACAGGTTCAAAGCTACAGAGAAACCCTGTCTTGAAACCCCCCCAACGATTTTTTGTTGTTGTTGTTAATTAGGGGCTAGGAGGTTAAGAACATGCTACTCTTGCAGAGGTCCTGGGTTTAGTATCCCAGCACTCACCTTTGGGGGTGTGGTGTGGTGGTGGTATTTACAACCATCCAGAATTCCAGTTCCAGGGAATCTAACCACTTTTTTTGTTTTTCGAGACAGGGTTTCTCTGTGTAGCTTTGGAGCCTATCCTGGCACTCACTCTGTAGACCAGTTGGCCTGGAACTCACAGATCTGCCTGACTCTGCTTCCCAAGTGCTGGGATAAAGGCATGCGCCACCAACGCCCTGCATCTAACAACCTCTTATGTCCTTTGTTGGCACCAGGAACACAAAGCACTCAGTTTTGAAAAATCTAAAAATGAATTAAACTCAGTTGAGGGCAGAACTCCTTTTCATTTACTCATTCTAGAGATATTTTACAGGCATACCTTTAGAAGATATACTTGTTACTGTATTGCTTTTAGGGTCATGGCATTCACTATGACAAACTTTAACACCTATTTAAGATTTCATTTATGCCGGAGTGTATATGCACCACATGCATGCAGATGCTTTTGCAGGGAAGAGGGTATCAGATCCCCTAGAACTGTAGTTACAGAGGGTTGTGAGACATCAGCTATAGGTACTGGGATTTCTGCAAGGGCATATGCTCTTTACTGATCTGCCATCTCTTCAGTCCCTCACACATTCTACTCCTAAAATACACGGGCTGTTCTACTTGTCCTTGTTGCAAACTAGTTCTGTCACACTGGGAACAAAGGACTGAGTCTCACATACAGTATAAAGAAATCTATGGTATTTCCTGGTCTAAAAAAAGTGGTAGTGTAAAATCTTACAAAATTAAGATAATATGTGGTAAGCCAAATGAATATTAAGATCTAAAACAAACAAACAAACAACAAAAACACCAGGCAGTGGTGGCGCACACCTTTAATCCCAGCACTCGGGAGGCAGAGGCAGGTGGATCTCTGTGAGTTGGAGGCTGGGCTGGACCGACAGCCTCCAAAACATTAAAGAGAAACCCTGTCTTGTAAAAACAAAACAAAAAAAACAAAAACAAAAAAATCTAAGTGACCCATCAGTATTTTGTAACTTAGCAATTACACATTAAACAATTATACAACTGTGTATATGCCAAGCAGAAGAAAAGAGCATATTCATGTACCAACACTGGCTGGCTGCTAATTGCAGCTTGCTAGTGTGTGCAAATCATGCTGCAGTAAAAGAGGGGCTAGAAACTAGCTGTCGTAATTAGCTTTGCAGAGGATATTATACATTCTGATGGTAATTTTTCTACCTCTATTAGTTTCTCACTAGATTACAATTTCCAGGTCAAGTAATAAAGGTATTTGTTCCTAGATGGTTAAAAAAATGGTCAAGTTTATGTAGCTCTAGCTGTCTTGGGACTCTATGTAGGTCGAGCTGGCCTTGAATTCAGAGATCCACCTGCTTCTGCTTCCAGATTCTGGAAATAAAGGCATGCACCACCACACCTCGATCCTAATTATTCTTAAACCAGGGTATGGTAGCCTGTAATCCCAGGCCCTGCAAGGTTGAAACAAGAGGATTATAAAGTATAAACTAAGGTAGGCAAGTCAAGACCTGTCTCACCGGGCGTTGGTGGCACATGCCTTTAATCCCAGCACTCGGGAGGCAGTTAGGTGGATCTCTGTGAGTTTGAGACCAGTCTGGTCTACTGAGCGAGTTCCAAGACAGGCTCCAAAACAATACAGAAACCCTGTCTCAAAAGACTGGGTGGGAGCAGATTCAGTAATATGTGGACTGAATGAACTACAAATCAAAAAAAAGTAGCTCTCAAGGAGCTGGAGAGATGGCCCAGTGGCTAATGAATGAATGCTGCTCTAGCAGTCAGCTGGAGTTTGGGTCCCAGCATGCAATCTGGTTACCTCACAGTACCCTAAGTTCCAGTGAGAACTTTGACCTCCTCCAACATCAGCACTTATACACATATCCTCCATGCACACAAAAAGTGAACTATTATTAAAAAAAATACTACCACTCAGGGGACAAATGCAGATGGAACGTAAAGTTTGTGGTCAACCTGGGCTATAAGATCTTGTCTTAAAAAGCCAATAGTTACTCTGAAATTGTGACATATCCACTATATTTACAGTACTTATGACCCAAGTAGACAACTGTTCTGAAATGAAATGATCGGTCAGAAGTCCTTTATCCTATGTGCTAAGGATCACTACCAACACAGCATTCAAGTTCTTGGAGCTTAGAATAGCAGTGTCCATGTGTGTATTATAATGTGCCCACCCACCTCTGCAATGGGCTTCTGTTACTACAGACCACTCACAGTAATACCAGTACTGATAAGTACTCAATTTTCTTGTTAAATTCTTTCTTCTTCAAACACTAGATACTGGTCTAGGGTTCCCTATGTGGATCAGAGGGATTTGGGCATCAGTCTTCACCTTTATTTTCTTTGTCTAAACAATGTTTCTGCCTAGAGTGCTTTTCCTTCTGGACAGGCATGTGAAAACGTATTTGTGTGTGAAGAAATTAATAATTGTTGAATTGTGAGGTATAAACACACACTCCAAAAATCTCCCAACCATTTTTCTTGAAGGATGATTACACTGTGAAGGCAAGATAGAGAAAATTATTGCAGCATAAATATTTGTATACATTTAAAGTCTTAAAAATGTATGCAGTTTTAAGCGAGGAATGGTGACACATACCTTTAATCCCAGCAACCAGGATTTGTTTTCTGAGACATAATCTTGGTATCTACAAGCCAGTTCTGAACTCAAAAGGTCCCAAGTCCTGGTATGCTTATGAAACCATGTACAGATGGTATGCTTTTTTTTTTTTTTGGTTTTTCGAGACAGGGTTTCTCTGTATTGTTTTGGAGGCTATCCTGGAACTAGCTCTGTAGACCAGGCTGGTCTCGAACTCACAGAGATCCTCCTGCCTCTGCCTCCCGAGTGCTGGGATTAAAGGCGTGCACCACTAATGCCCAGCCCAGATGGTATGCTTTTAACAGAACTTTTGTCACCAGGTCTGTCTGACAATGGTTGCTGCACCTCTTTGGGACATGTGTAGAGAGCTGAAATACTCAAGGTCATTTTATTTTTGCTTTCTCTTGTGTAGCAGTTCCTATGCAGTGGATTCTAGGTTGAATTCTCACCTCTTCTTGTTAACAGATACTGCCAAGCAGACTTTTTCTTAAGGTTTTCTTTTCTTTTTAAATTGTTAGTACATAATGTTTAAGTGCCAGAATTTACACTGGCAGATGCAAGTTCAGGACAGCTTTCAGGAGAAGGTCCTCCTTGTACAGCAGGTTCTGGGGTTCAAACTCATTAGGTTTACCTGCTCAGGTTACCTGGATTTGAGATTTAACTTCAAAACCTATGGCAATTCCTGTAGCAAGAAATGAAAACAGTATCTAAATACTATGTCAATATTTGTTTTCTGTTGAGAATGTAACCTTAAGATGGTCTTACATTTATAAACAACTCCAGTGCTTATTTACTGAGCAGCGTAATCTCATATAATTTCCATGATGCTCCCTGAATTTACTATTCTCTAATATTGCTCTTCTATTCACTTGTGTCACTAAGCTTATTATGTATGCACCAGGTGCACTAAGATACAGCCAAGCCCACATTTTTCCAGACACTGGATTGGATCTGTAAGAAACAAATGAATGACTTGAAAGATTTACTAAATTCATGCATTTTTAAAGGTTTTTACTATGTGCATGTTATGTCTGGTACCCAGAGTCCCCTGGAACAAGATTTACAGCCCTTGGTGAGTTGCCATGTGGGTGCAGCCAATTGAATCTGGGTTCTCTAGGAGAGCAACCACTGCTCTTGACTACGGAGCCATCTCTCCAGCCCCTCAAGTTAATTTTACAAGCATTTTGAATTATAAGTGATAAGGCATAAATTTTCAGTGCTGAGATCCTTTTTTTTTTTTTTTTTTGGATAAGGCCTATATAGTTCAGGCTGGTGTATATCCTAGTACCCCAGCCGCCAAAATGCTAGGAACCACTACATTTGGCTTAATTGGCCTTGGACACAGTAACGGGAATGGCTATTAGAATTAAGTTACATTATTTACATATATGAAATTATCAATGGATGCCATTAAAAAGTCTTAACCAGCTAGGCGGTGGCAGCACCGGCCTTTAATTCTAGCACTAAGGAGGCAGAGGCTAGCAGAACTCTGTGAGTTCGAGACCAGCCTGATCTACAATAGCTAGTTCCAGGACAGCCTCTAAAGCCACAGAGAAACCCTGTCTCGAACCACCTCCCTTCCCCCCAAAAAACCCAAACTTAACCAAGGTTTTAAATCAGAGGCTTATAGTTAGTGGCTCAAAAATACTTTAAGTTATTCATTTTTTTTTGTTTGTTTGAGACATTTCTGTGTAGCTTTGGAGCCTGTCCTGGAACTTGCTCTGTGGACCAGGCTGGGATCCAACTCACAGAGATCGCCTGCCTCCCAAGTGCTGGATCAAAGGTGTGTATTGCCCCTATCCCAGTCAAATTTATCTTTTAGAGAAGTGGTAGAAGTGTTAAGAATATCACCAAAATGTACTGAATTCTCAAATAAAAACATTACTAAATGTATAAACACCCCATGTATAGTTTGTTTGGTAAATTTCAATGCATGATTTTTCTAGACAGGGTTTCTCTGTGCAATAGTTCTAGCTATTCTGGAACTCACTTTATAGACTAGGTTGGTCTCCAACAGAGATCCACCTGCCTCTGCTTTCTGACGGATAGGATTAAAAGCATGTGCCAACATGCCTTGCTTATTTGTACTTATAAAATCTTAGTGTAAACAAGTTATAGTATTGGCAGTAATCATGGCTAACCCAACTGAAGTGACACTTCCTTATAATACTGCTTCAGGAAGCTTGAAATGTCTGCTGGACGTTGTTTGAGGCCTTTAAGTATCATTAGTTAATAAAATAAGTACTTCTCTGTAAAGATTAAAATTTTAAGATTTTTGGTAACTTTCTTCCTAATTCAACACACTGTTAAGTTTTGGTTTTGAAGAGATCTAAGACTACAGCAGATTGGAAAAAAGATCCATGGTGTAGTGTCGAGTGCCTTTAATCCTAGCACTCATGAGGCAGAGGCTGGTGGATCTCTGTGAGTTCAAGACTAGCCTGGTATACAAGAGCTAGTTCCAAGACAGCCTCCAAAGCCTAGAGGAACCCTCCCCCCAAAAAAAGATCCATGACACTTAAACAGGTTATCTCATGACTTAGAGGAACAGAGGAATCCTTGTACCTCCAGGTCCTTGGGCTCAGTACTCACCACCAAATACTGATAGTTAAAAGTATCAATTACAGGGCCCCTTCTTACCCAATACAACTTTCTGTTTTAACAACATAAAAAATTAAACATGATTTATAATTTCCCTAAAATAATTATATACTCTTTGAATCTAAGCAACACTTGCTTATGGGAATCATATTCTTCACTGAATATTAAAAATCTGGTATGTCTTGAAATCACAACAAGGATGAGACACACTGGAATACAATAGGCATGGATGAATTAACAGCTAAGCATACAATCAAGAATTTTCAGTCAAGTTCAAATCTAGCATGGGCTATTCGTCAGACTGACTCAAAAAATAGAAAGAACACCACACATATAGCAGAGGCAGAGCAAGTACTTGTTTGTACACACAAAGACATAGGATCAATACAAGCGTCTGGGAGGGACAGGAAAAGAGTGAATTAAGACAACCTAACATCGAGAAATCATCACACTGGTGTTTTCTGAGACAGGATCTCATCATGTGGCCCTGCTTGCTGGGCTTGAACTCAGGGGGGTTGGACTTAGCATTGTGCTAGATGCAGTTTAAAGTTAAGGTCTGACTCAAGCCTCATTTTTCTAAATTACTAGATGGTCAGTACAGAGATGAAGAGTCTAGGCACTAACACATTTTTTCACACATACGACTTTGCAGGTCATCCCACCTGCACAACCTCAGGTTTATCTGCACACGATTTCTCCCAAATGGGTACAGATGATCTCCTTAATTTTTATATAATTAAAAGCCCAGAATGAATTAAACCAACATCATATAGAACCGAGACACATCTTTGTACTTCTAAAGCCCACGCTAATGGACAAACCCAACCTTTTGCTGTTAAGTGGTGATCACAGGTATATACTTACCCACCATGATATACAGGAGAAATGGTTTGACAAACTTTAGATAGACCTCAACCAGTATACGTATTTTGACATCTCCAGTGTTAGCAGAGGAATAACTTCCTATCTGTCAAATGTGTTTTTAAGCCAATCCTGTCATAGCTCTGAAGTCAAATTTACTTCCTTCAACTATGACAGCCACCGCGAACTCATTTCTATGCCAGGCTTGATGATGCCTGCCTTTATTCCCAGTACTAGGGAGGCAGAGATAAGATCTCAGAGTTCAAAGTCAGGCTGAGCTACATAGTGAGTTCCAGGACAGAAAGAAAATGTCTCAAAACAAAGTAACTTATTTCTACTTAAGTTATTTGGAATTTACTCTAGACTACTGCACAGTTATTAGTTACCATAACTAGCTTTGCAGACAAAATGGTGCCAAGATGGATCTGAGTTTGAGGCCAGTCTGGTTTACGTAGACAGTTCGAGGACTGCCGCAGCTACACAGAGACCGTGGTAGGTGGTGGTGTGGTGTCAAGTGACTATTTGAACCTAGGTGCCCAGATTCAAAGCAAGTTATTTTGTCTCCCTCACTCCCAATAGCTGAAGTATTATGAGATTGGTAGATTCAGTCTTATTGTTGCTAGGAACAGATAGTAATCTGAATATAAAATTGAGATTTGGCGAATCCTATATGAGCCTTGCAATTTTTTTTTTGGAGTTCAGAACATGTTAATTTATAGCACAGCAATTTAATCTGCAGCCATATTGTCTTTCCTTAGAAATATTCCAGGTTAGGCGGTGTCGGTGCATGCCTTTAATTCCAGCACTCAGGAGGCAGAGGCAGGTGGAGCTTTGAGTTCGAGGTCAGCCTGGTCTACACAGCTACACAGAGAAACCCTGTCTCGAACCCCTCCATCAAAATAAATGAATAAATAAATAAAAAGAAAAAAAATTCCAGGTTACACCAATACCAGAAGATACAGATCTGATGAGATCAAAAGTATCTACATTTGAACTTACTGGATGGACTACAGTGTCAGGACTTTGTAATGAATAACTTCCTTTGATGCTTTTAAAAGTTTTTCATTATAATTCTTACTTAGTGTTTTTGTTTTGTTTTTCCATTTTCATTTATCCTTCCAGTTAAGTCTCTAGAAAAAAGCTAAACGGATTTAAAGACATTTGCAGAGGCCTGTGATATCAGTTTCTTTTCTCCTTTTGCATTTTTCATACAGGCACAATCCCACATAGGTAACCTAATAAATTCAATATCATGGATTTCTCCTGTCAATAACAGACATTGGAAAATGTAGCTGGGCAGACACCAGTCCTATTCAATGTACATTTAATGCTTTCTCCAATAGTGGTTTTAAGGATCCCAGTTAGGGTGTGGGGTGGGGTTAGTTGTGAGATAGAAGGTTCAGTGGTTAAGAGCACTTGCTGCTTTTGCAGAGTATCAGGTTCAGCTGTCAGCATTTACACGGTGGCTCAAAACCATCTCTAACTCTAGTTCCCAGAGGAATCTGATGCCTTCTTCTGACCTCCATGGGTACCAAGCACATACAACACGAAGGCAAAACAGCCATACATATAAATCCTTAAAAGTAAATAGGTTGTTGCTTCTAATATCTTAAGGAAGCCCTCTTTTTTCTGCCTGTCCCTACCAATATTTTTTTTTCATATCCAAACCTCCTATCTTTATTTAGCAACCACTTTTTGCTATTCCATGATTCATTCCTAAAACCCCAAATCTGGTGACTTTTCACTATGTTGTTAATTCAAAGTTTATATGAAAAATAAAATCTAGGACGCCTTCATGAGGAAACACAACCAGTTGAAAAAAAAGTTCAGAAACCACTTCAAAAGCACTAATAGAAAAAAAGCAGAATTTTAGAAAGACAAACATGAACACTGAAAATGGAATAGCCTCATTTCTCTAAAATTCAAGAAAGGCATCATGCCCAGTATGACAATCATACAGAAACAGAAAGCAATCAATGTAAACAGTGCACCACCCTCAATGACTTCTCAGCTATGACAGTGTTGTGTCATATAATTGTCACTTATCCATAATAGTCTGTTGCCAGTAAAGCCCACTTATTACATACAAAGAACATGCTATTTACTTGCAGTATTGCAACTGTAATTGAGGTACTCTATATCAATTGAGGTACTCTATGTCAACTTTACTCACAATAGTAAGCTTTGTATATTACCACTTTAGAGAAAGACCCCAATCCTGCTAATTATTTCTATATACTTACAAGCAAATGGTTTTGTTTTCTTGTATAATTGTGCTGACCATTGGAAATCTGAGCGAACTAAAACCCATTAGACTACACCCTTTAAATGGATGAACTGCATATGTGAATTTCAATTAAATTGTTTATAAAAAAAGATACACCACAGAGGATTACTCTTTACAGCAAGTTCACTAAGATAGCATCTCAAACTAAGGCCTATGAATACATACCCACTTGCATAATTGGTTAAACATCTGCATACCTAAATTTCCTGAAATGGTTATGTCTAGGAACACATGTTTATTAATATTCTTGCAAAGACATGTTCTATAGTGTGTAGTGTCCCTTTAACTGTTCAAACCTGTTAAAATCTGGTAAGATAAGGCGTAGTTTCTCCGTATAGCCCAGGCCAGTCTGGAACTTTGTAGACCAGGCTGGCCTTGAACTAAGAGATCCATCTGCCTCTGCCTCTGAGATCAAAGGTATGCACCACCACCACCCAGCTAGACTTTAAATTCTGACCCTGAGACATTTGCTGCATTTACCTTAAGTCATATAGAAAATCCAGCAGCAAAATCTATGCCAACATGTTGTAAACACAACAGCTAGGATACTATCCTGAGACTTGTTTCCTAACTATTGTCAATTCAAAGTATGAATGTCAGAAATATGAAAAATTTTGTTTTATTATCTGAATAAATTAAAATATTGTTCCAATAAAAAAAAAGGGAAAAAACACACATTAGCTAAAATCAAATGGTGTGCCCATCTGCATCCACTTATGGAAATATACACTGTGGCAAACATTTACCTTAATCAAAGAGGAGATACTTCTTTTTTTTCTGGTCAAGTGTTTTCCTTTTTTGCCTTAAGTTTCTAAAGAATATTGAATTTTTTTCCCTATGAAAGTTGACTTAACTTGTTGAGTCTTTCTAAAATACACTGATATTTTTGACATTTATGGTTGAATATCCACTATATATAAGGCTAAAACACTTCAAAGCACTTACATGACAAATTGTAGAATCCACTACATTATATTGGTCCCATTTTCCACACTATTTCCAAACAATCTGTTATTTTTTCTTTCAATAAATCAGTCTTCCACAATAACCCAAACTACAATTATTGCTCATATACATGTCTTATAAAACAAAGATTTATAAACCCTACAGTTAAATCTAAGGGTATAAAGGGATTGGTAAACACTTTGTTTCCTTTCTAGTACTTACCATCATTACAGCTGAATCTTTGAAAACTATTTTAACCATCACCTGCGTATACCTTTGACTGTTCCTATTGTCTTTTCGCAATTTAAAAACCAGTGTTAATTTTCTGAAAGGAAGATGTAGTTATCGTTTGAATTTTATTAACTTCTAACAGAGGCATAGTATGTATTTTCCCTGACGCAAACAAACCAGGGCTGGGGATCCAATCCAAGGCCTTGAGTACGCTAGGTGAATCCTTACCATTGAGCTACATCTTCTGCATAAAACTCCTTTTTCAGAATTAAATACAAAAGGGAGGAAGAATAAGCAACACACATTATGCGTATCAGCATTTTTAAGTTTTCAGAAACACTCAGTAGGAAGTAAAATTTTCCATGTTTCCATAGTGAACGTCAGCATCTGAAAAACAAACACACAGTACTACTTTAGTTATGCAGGATAATTTGAGATGCTGAGCACAAGGACTCAAAAGTTCTTGACATAATCATACATTTGGAATAGGCCAAAGAAGGCATTGACTGCACTTTAATTGGTGGGGAACCAAGTGGGTAAGAGAAGGTGACGGTTAATGCATTAACTAACATTAACTACATGCAGATGTCACAACACAACACATTATTCTGCATAATGATCCATGGTTACCAACTTTGAGGACCTGAAATATTTCAGCATAGTTCATTCGGCGTTAGTCCTGAGTAAGACTGCACACTTGTAGTCTCTTTTCAATGTCTTTCACTTTCGCTGGTGGGTATGAAAGATTAGGTGCTAACTTCTTTTGGTGTCTCCGTGTCTTTCTTATTTTCAGGGCCAAAGACACAACCCTGCGCGCTCATATCTACCAATGATTCATTTGACGCCCTTTGCAAACCGTTGCGGTCTGAAGATTCAGTGCGTGTGTTTAGGGCAGACACCTAAGGAAGGAGAAAAAAAAAAAAAAAGGCAAGACGACAAGGCGCGAGTCCAGAAGACGCGAGGCTCGCCGTCCCCAGTCCCCATAACACAACAAATTCACCTTCTGTCCAGATTGTCCCGCTAAGGGGTCCTCCACGCCCAGAAGTGAAGCGACTCCCTGGGTCCCCGGGTAAAAAGCCGAGAGGCCTTATGCAACCCCTTCAGGTTGAGGTTCACGCCGACTCGCGAGGCCATCTCCAGTCTGACGGCCCTGCCCATCCCCAGTGTAGTCTCCGTCCAGCCCCAGCCAGTGATCGAGGCTATCAAATCCTCCGTCCTCTGCCTCACCATTCTCATCGTGCCTCCTCTCAGCTCCACGAGCCCCGAAGCCTCCCTCGGCCCGCAGTAGCTCCTGAGCTTCAATATGGCGGCCGGGCCGGTCTCTTTCTGGGCGCTCCGACCGGAGCACCCTGGGCATTGTAGTTCCGTATGTAGCCTCTGCGTCCCTCACGGCCTTCAGAGGACTACAAATCCCAGAATGCACAGCTCCGGAGCATGGCTATTGGGGCCGCTCGGACAGAGGGATGATGTCATTGCAAAACCCGACTGCATTCATTGTGCTACGGTCTATCCACTCCCCACCCCCCTGCTGCTGCTGCTGTTGCTGCTGCTGCTCCTGCTGCTGCTGGGCTCGCTATTGCCGCTCGCTCCAGCTGAGCCCTGAGTAGCAGCAGGACCAGGGCAGGGACTGACTCCAGTCCTTGGACTTAGGACACCGCAGCCCCTTCCCTTACGTGCGTGACTCATTCGCATATCATTTCTGTTTATGCCTGGGGTGGGGAGAAAAATCCCAAACCAGGTGAGTTGAAGTGATTTATTCAAATCGTTCTCCCAAGTTATTCCTCCCGCTTAGTGCTCAAGGCTTTCTTTTGGAAGATAGGGCCGGGGATGGGGGTATGGATTCGGGAGGTTTTCACTGGCGCTGCTAAGAGCTAAATCGCTCTGTGCAATTTGGGTCACTGCAAAGAACAACTCCAGCAACCTGCCCCCACCAGAGGACCGGTGCCTGCCAATTTCCTCGCCTCAACTCCCTTTAACCTTTTGGAGGCTAGGAGAGGGGGCTGGGCTGGCAAGGATGTTGGGAAGTGCACTTGGAAAACATGAGAAGGGCAAAGGTGGAGGACTGCAGTCCTGTCATTCTGTGGCCCCAGTGCTGAGGTTTGAGTGGGAAAGGGTGATGCGTGGGAAGGAATGGAGACAGTGACTTAAGGTGGTCGTACTTCTTTAGAACATTTGTGTCTCTTGGACTAGCATACACTATGTATATATATAATTTAAGATGAGCAGGCTTCTCTTGAGTCGCTTAAGTTTCGTGGGGCTTTATGTTTGCATGTCTGTATCGTCTGTCTCGCTTTTTTTCTGCTGATTTGAGGTGACAGTGTCCTTTAATGGTGTACTCCGTGTCAGAAATATTTCACGTGCTAGAGAAGGGTTTCTTAGGCTGCTAGAAGCAGCCTAACATTTTTAAAGCTTTGTTTTATTTATTTATTTTTTTACGTTTTCTCGACTGCGGGATTCAGGATTGTTTGGAAGTGGAGCTGATAGATTTGTGCTTGTGGGAGTGTTTTAAATTACATCGCAATAGGCTCTTGCCACTGACAATGGTTCTGTAACGAGCTGCGCTGCCGTTTCCCCGAGGCTCCACTCACACTTAACGGTTTGTAGATGTAATCGATTAGGGAACCTGGGTACTTTTTTTTTTTTTTTCGTTTTCTTTTTAACGCATTATGGAAAGGAAAAGTTAGGCGTGCTGACACCCTTTACTGATTGTTACTGAAAGGTATCCAAGAACAGTGAGCCTGACCAGGGAAACCAGAGAGCATGCTAGTGTGCTTTTTGTTTGAATTTTGTTTTTCAGCGAACTGACACATTTAATAAGGCAGGCAACACTGTGGCTTGTATGATGCTGACTCTCCTCTTTTAAGAGTTACAGGGATGAACACTGCAATAAATATGTTCCTTTGAGATAAACAGCTGGCTGACTCCAGAACAGATGGGGCCAGTCTTAGCTGAGAGATATACAACCTTGGAAATGAATGGACTTAGGGTCAACCACACCCCCTTTAGGAATGTCAAAAGAAGGAGAAATGCCAGAGTATTTGCTTAACTCCAGAATGCTAAAGCTTTTCACCGCTGAGTCAGGCTTTGGGGGAAAAAGTCATCACTGTCTGTCTTTAGCTTCTGTGAACCAATTTTATTCATTTTTAATTTACATGCTCAGGTCTCCAAACTTGCAGCTGGGTGACACTTTGTTAAGTGCTTCGTGTCACTGAATGCAAAGGAGAGTCCATTGTACGGGCTTAGAGTGATTTATTGGCCTGCAAAGAGCAGCTTTTGGATTTGGGAAAAGATCAAATCTGTTGCTCTCTTCCTACATTTTGTGGTGACTCTCTGCCCTTGTCTTCTATGCCTGTCTTTCTCCCTACCCGGTCGACATCTCTTCGAATTCCATTTCTTTCCTCATCTGTTTGCAATAAATGTAGGTGTTGCCTCTCTGTTTCAGAGTGCCTGCTGTGTCGGGAGAGTATCACATCTCTTTTTCTAAGTCACTTTCCAACCTCTGAACACCAGCCCCCACACCCTCATCCCACCCGTCCCTAAGGAACCCTGGGGTTAGAGGATGTTGGCTCTGTGTGAACATTTATTCAGAGTCCTCTTTGAAGAGGTTCTGGCTTTTTTTTTTTTTTTCCTTTCCCCTTGGAGTCTGTGCTTGGAAGGATGACAGCGATGAGCCTGATCCAGGACTGGGTTTGTGGTTTTCCTGACAGACATAACCTGGGCCCAGGAGCATATGGACAATGAAATGTGCCCAAGGAGCTTCTGTACCTCTCCTTCCCATGATCCCTGCTAAGAAGTGCCCATGGTTTAGCAATTGTTTTAATGCTTTACACAAATAGTTCATAAATGATTCCTAAAAGAAGTAGTCTTAAGTAGGTTCTGATTCCTTTAGTGTTTTTGTTCCTTATTTCTGATTCCAGTGAGTGGTGGGAAAAAGAGTCTATCCCCTAGCACCACGCTGAGTAAACAGGGCAAGCAGCAAACCTGCATTTGTGTTTCTGAAGGTAGTTGGAGTTCCTGCCATTTTGTCGTCTTTGTACTGGAGAGAAGTTTGTTGTTTTATGCGGCTTTCCCTGGGAGCTGGGTGTGGTGGCAGCTGTGTCTTTTTACTTAACCTTACTGTTTCTATAGGCATGCAGAGTCTGATGTCCATTTGAAGTCAGCCTATATGACAGGTGGATGGGACTTCTTTTGTACCTTAAACTTTCCTTACGAAGTCCTTTCTCCTTCAATGCACCCTCACTCACTGGGGGTTGTTAGTGACATAGGGAGGAGAAATGAGATGATTGGAGGATTAGATTTAGCCCTATCCCTGCTGTCCTATGGCTTTGGAGAGCTGTAAGTTTCTTTTTGCCTCAGTTTGTAGATATGCAAAGGGACACTAACCCTTGCTTCTTGATTCACTTGGCCTGTTGTTAAAAACCCTCTATGATTATTCATGTCTAACTCTGGGAATGGCATATTCATTTTCAATCTTAGTTTTCTCATTTTTTAAAACATGGGTTTATCTCAATACAGTATACTGATGTTCACATGTATGTATACCATGATAGGAATGCATCTTCAAATGAGGTAGTGTTTGCTTTCAAGAAATTTCTCTGGAGGGTTGTGTAGTAATGCTAGGACAGCATAGTCCCACAAGAGGGGTGGGAAATTAACAATGTGGCCCATAGCTTTTGGCACTAGAGATGAAGGCAAGGAATAGCTCTAGGGAGTAGGTGCCCAGGTCTTGTACAGTTTACAAGCTCTGTGTGTTTGTTAACTGAATGGCCCAAACTAGGTCTCTAAGGATGCTTTCTAAATAAAGAAAAATTTCAACATATTGAAAGATGACATTAGTAATAATGAAATGTCAAGTGTAAATGCTATTAGCAGATCATTTTCTGAGACCTATAGCCTTTGGAATGTTTTGTGACTAAGTTCTAGGGAAATTCAGAAGTATTTCAGTTCTGGTTTCTTTTAGGGTTCAACTTCCTAAATTCAAGTTAGTTTCTCAAAAATCATTCTAAGGGTCATAATATTCCCTAAATCAATGGACTTTTTGAATTTTACGGGTAAGCAAAGTTACACATACACAAAATTAATACAATTGAGTGAACTGGTGACAATATTTTTCTGTGGTAAAGATATATTGAACTGCAAGAAAAATTCTGTAATGCATCTTTCCCCCTTATTTTATTGCACAGGAGGGGGAAAAGACAAAACACCACAATGTTATAATTACTTAGGAAATACTTTCTGTATTTTCTTGACTGTGGTAGAAATGTGCCTGATCTTCAAATGAACATTTCCAAGTAAAGAGGAATTTTATGTGATCCACAGGTAACTTATTTATAGGTTCTTTCGCTTGGGAATCTAACCTTTGAAAACTAGATACTTCCTCAAGATTATCCTATCAAAAAGATTCTTGGAATTTTTTTTCAGTCCTGGGGACCAAGCCTATAACATAAGGGTCTCTTGAAGGTCATCAGGGAGAAAGGATCTATGAGATCACATGTTAATGTGTGTGTTTATGTGCTAGAGTTCATTTGTATGTAACACGAAAAATAACAACCCAGGGATAGATATTGGGGTTCAAGCTGATGATCAGATAAACAAAGTGTCCAAGCCAGCAGCTTTTACCTCTATCCAGGCTGAAGCAATCCTGCCCTCAACATGGCTAGAAATGAAAATGCCACAGACTGAATATCTGTTCTATCTTATATACCTCAAGTGCTGGGATTAAAGGCATGTGATCCCAAATGCTGAGATCACCTTTTTGTGAGCTGTTTCTCTTTTAGACTGGATCAATTTTGTATAGCTCAGTGTAGTCTTGAACTAACAGAGATCCATCTGCATGTCTCCTGAGTCCTGGGATTAAAGGTATGTATTGCCACTGCCTGACCCTATGACTTGCTAGTTATGGCTGCTGGGATTAAAGGTGTGTATCACCACTGCCAGACCTCTATGGCTTGTGGCTAGCTTTGCATTCTTACTCCTCAGGCACGCTTTATTGAATCATAAATAATATATCACCACATTTGAGCATCTCTTCATTCTCTCTTATCAATGTGTGTGTGCTTCCTGGACAATATCTTTACCTCTTTGAACCTGTTTCTTAGTAAGATTGTTGTGAATGTTAAATGAGAATGTTTTAAGATTTATTGATTCATTTTATTTTATGTGTAAGTGTGTGTGTACTCATTTAGTGCCCTCAGAGGCCAGCAGAGGATCAGATCCCCCCTGTAACAAGTTACAGATGGTAATGAAACACCATGTGGGTTCTGGGAACTGAACCTGTGTCTTCTGTGGGGATAGCAATACTCTTAAACAGGGAGCCATGACTCTAGGCCAGAGTATATTTTATGTATCTAGCACTAAGCCTGATATAACTGATGTTCATAGTGGCTCTCTCCCCCTTTAGACAGGGTTTCTCCGTGTCACCTTGGCTGTCCTGGAACTGGATCTGTAGACCAGGCTGACCTCAAGCTCACAGAGATTCTAACCTGCCTGACTTCCCTGTGCTGGGATTAAAGGTTTGTGTTACCACTGTCCAGCTACAAATAAGAATCTTAATGGCCACCTCATGTGCAGCTCCCATTCAAATTCCCCCCAATATCCTTATAATAAGATTTGTTTTTCCCAGCACTTGGGAGGACAGCCAGGGCTACACAGAGAAACCCTGTCTCAAAAACAAACTAACAAGCCAGGCGTTGGTGGCGCATACCTTTAATCCCAGCACTCGGGAGGCAGAGGCAGGCGGATCTCTGTGTGTTCGAGGCCAGCCTGGTCTACAAAGTGAGTTCCAGGACAGCCTCCAAAGCCACAGAGAAACCCTGTCTCGAAAAACCAAAAAAAAACAAAAAACAAAAAACAAAAAACTTTTTTTTTCATTGCAGAGGGCCTGGGCTCAGTTCCCAGCACCCAGGCGATAACTCATAACCAGCTTTAGGGGATCTGATGTCCTTTTGTGACCTCTGTATACACCAAGCATATGTGGGGTACATACACATACATGCTGTCAAAACATTCATACACATAAAATAAAATAAACCTTAAAGAAAACCCTGTCTGGAACAACAAAACCAACCAACCAACCAACCAACCAACCAAACAAACAAACAAACAAGCAAAAATCCTTACTGGATATAATGAGTCCATTGCTTAGTTCAATGAGTGGAAATTAGTGTGTCCTTTAGGTACTGTTGTTAAATGTTTCAAGAGTGTCAAAGCAAAACCAGAAGGCATGTTTGTAGGCATTTTCTTGATTGATTAATGTGGAAGGACCCAGCCCACTGTGGGTGGCACCACCTCTAGGCCAGTGGGCTTGGGAGGTGTAAGAAAGGTAGCTGAAAAAAAAAAACAAAAAACAAAACGGTAGCTGAACCTGAACCTGGAAACAAGTTAGCAAGCTGCATTCCTCCAGGGTTTCTTCTTCATTTCTGGCCTCCATCTTTCTCGTTTAAGTCCCTGCCTTGGCTTCCCTCTCAGACGTTAGGTTTGGCCAGTGTTTTATCACAGCAACAGAAACCTCACTAGGACATGCGCATAAAATAGCTCTGACTAATTTGCATGCACATAAGCACAGAAATCTGTAATATCTGTAGGGTGCTGGTACCTTTGACTAAGCTGACTCGTGTTGACCCTGTGATTCCAAGGGTGTTTTCAGACAGAAAGTTTCTTCTTGTTCTCATAAAGTCTTTTTTATTTTGTCAACCTAGTCCTTATGTACATAAGTTAATTACAGGGTCCTGTGCTGGGTGCCTTGATAGAGAAACAAGTGGAGCTTCCCTCCCACCCCACTCTATTGTAAGAGACCCAGATCTTTTAGGAGGGTCTTTGAAAGTAGCTGTGCTATGTATGAAGGTAGACTCTGTGCTCTTTTATTCTTTCAATCCTATGCAGATTAAAAATCTTCAAAAAATTTCCTGGGTGTGGCACACGCCTTTAATCCTAGCACTTGGGAGGCAGAGGCAGGTGGATCTCTGAGTTTTAAACTAGCCTGATCTACAGAGCTAGTTCCAGGACATCCAGGGCTATACAGAGAAACCCTGTCTTGAAAAAAACAAAGAAAGAAAGAAGTTTTAAATTACATTAATTGATTGGCTGATTGACTGATAGTGTGTGTGTGTGTGTGTGTGTGTGTGTGTGTGTGTGTGTGTGACCTGAGGCTCAAATTCACTCAGGTTAGCAAGTACTTTCTCCTTCTGATCCATCTCACTGGCCCATATGGAGCAGATTTTAGCTCCATTTTTATATGTAAATAAGGGAACACATCTCTGTGAGGTTAAGTAACTTTTTCTTTTTTCAGAGAAAATGTAGATTTTGTAAGGACAGTGAGTGGGAGGGTGTACAAGGGAAGAATAATGCTGTTCTGCTATTTGGATCAAACCTAGCTAAAATGATGATGATGATGATGATGATATAGTAGATTCTCTGTAGGTTTTCTGGAGCCCAAAGTCTCCCACTTCTTCAGCTGCTTCCTTTTTTGCCTTGCGTTCTGACTGAAGTCTAGGCTTCATGAAGGCAGACCTGGCTGGCTGGTGACTGTGTTCATGTTATGGTCAGACACAGAAGCACCCTGTGATAACATTAGCTTGGGTACCAGGAGGTTTGTATGTTTTATTTGATTCTTCCTTACCAACTTATTTTAAAACATTTAAAACTTTTTATACTCCTTTTATCAGAATTAATTTGCTTTCTATATGAATACTCCCACCCCAACTCCTTTTTTGGTTTTTGTTTGTTTTTTGAGAGACAGTCTTATTCTGTAGACCAGGCTGGCCTTGAACTCACAGAGATATGCCTGCCACTGTCCCAGGAGTACTGAGATTAACATTGTGCACCACCCACACTTTAAGACTGGCCATGGTGGGGCATGCTTCTAATCCCAGCATTTGGGAGGCAGAGGCAGATGGATTTGTGGGTTTGAGGCCAGCCTGGTCTACTTACTGAGTTCCAGGACAGCCAGAGCTACATAGTGAAAGCCTGTCTTAAATAACAAACAGACAACAACTACACCAAAACCTCTAAAAAGAGCAACTAAACAAGTAGCTGTTTGAAACTTGCTACCAGGCCTGGAGATGGCTCAGGGGTTAAGAGCACTGCCTGTTCTTCCAGAGGTCCTGAGTTCAATTCCCAGCAACCACATGGTGGTTTACAACCATCTGTAATGAAGTCTGGTGCCCTCTTCTGACCTTCAGGGATATATGCAGACAAAATACTGTATACAAAATAAATAAATCTTAAAAAAAGGAAACTTGTTGCCATTTGAAATATTTGTCTCTAATCATTTAAGCATATAATCTTTAAGAACAAGCACTTTCTTTCAGATTGCTATTCACTGCTACTCTGTAACAATGCCTTTCCAATTTCCTCAGTCACTCTAGTGACTCTTATTAACTTTTTGTATATGTGTATGCAATATGTGTTTGTATGTGTGTAGAGGCCGGAGGTTAATGTCTGATGTCTTTCTTTATCTCTCCCCTCCTTATTTTTTTTAATATGGAACGCTTCATGAATTTGCGTGTCATCCTTGCGCAGGGTCCATGCTAATCTTCTCTGTATCATTCCGATTTTAGTATATGTGCTGCGGAATCGAGCACACACCCCTCCTTATTTTTTGAGGCTTATTCTTTCAATAAACTGGAAGCATGTCTAGCCCGTCTGACTGATGAATTCCAGGGATTGTGTGTTTCTGCCTCATTAGTGCTAGGATTCCTGCATGTGCCTCTGAGCCCATCTTTTGTATGTATGTATGATTTATTGTATCTATCATCTATTTACCTCTCTATCATTTATCTATCTATCTATGTATGATAGAGTATCATCTATCTATTTTTTGAGACAGGGTTTCTTTGTGTGGCCTTGGCTATCCTGGAATTTGTTCTATAGATCAGGTTGACTTCAAATTTAGAGATCCACCTGCTTCTGCTCATCAGCAGCTGGGATTAAAGGCATGCACCACTACATCTCGCTAAGCCCAGCTTTTAAAAACGTGGATGCTGAGGATTTAAACTCATGTCCTCATGCTTCTACAGCAAGCACTTTGTCAACTAAACCATTCCCAATAAGAATCTTTTTCCTAAAAAGACATTTGATCCAAAATCTAGTCAGGTATGATTCATACAAGACAATTGTATCCTTTTGTTGTTTATTTTTAGTGTAGAATAATATTGCCTTCTTGTCTTGATGTTATCTTTGAATATCTTGTTTGTTGTTCTGTAGGCTGGAATTGGAATCTTCTGATCATGTTCTCATTGGGGAACTTGAGTTAAGGATTTGTGGTTGGAGTGTTCCATTAGAGATACTGCATTCCTACCCCCTTGCATCTTAGGGATGTTCATGGTTAGTTTGTCACATCTCTGGTGATGCGAGGCTTGATGCCTGTGGTTAAGGAGGAAAGGCCGGCCTTCCCACTGAAAGGGCACCACATTTAAATGATCTATGTGTGTGGGGTACCTTGAAGGTATGTGAATATCCTGTTTCTCAACAACTTTCGCCTAATATTTTCTAAATTCCCCTATTCTGTATTTATCATCTGTTCAGTTAGCTTCCAGCTCCTCTCTCCCACTTCAAAAAAAACCAAAACAAACAAAAAACAAAACAAAACACTACTCACACTCACATTCTGCTCCCTCCAATGTATTATAACCCATTATCAGTCTTCTCTCCCTTCCCCAGCCTTATGCTTTCTGATACCCAAATGGTTTCAAATGTAGCCTGTGAGAGCCTAGCCAGTTTATTCTTAAATGCTTGTAATAAAGTCGACAAGATGCTCATGAAAGCAGGGAAACTAAGTCTGAGAAGTCACAAATAACTCTCAGTGTGGTCCTGGTCACAGCCAGTTATCAGGAGAGATGAGTTGTAAATATTGTTCTAACTCCGCAGTGGTTGCTGCTACTCTGTGAGCTTGATGAGGATCAGAATGTCCCGGGTTGAAACCAACATAAAGGGTAGAGTGCAATCATTGCAGCATCTTGCTGATAGAAAATGATTGGAAGTGTGCAACAGCAGGGGACTGGACATGTTTACACAAGGGAAAAAGCTTAAAAGCTACAAACACTAGTGAGGGTGTTCTCTGAGGATATATTTTAAGTGATAGAAGGAAGTATGAAGTATAGTTTGTGAGGGATAAGGATATTTTGAATTTGCACAAAGAAACTCTGGAAGATGATGAAAAATACCATGGTTACAAGTAGAAAGTAGGTAATAGACAATGTGTGGATTATGTATAGTATATGTGTATACATGTGTATTGAGATTTATTTGTGTGTGCGCGTGTGCACGTGTGCACTTGTTTTATGAGACAAAGTGTTTCTATATAGCTCTGGCAGGCTTGGAACTTGCTTTGTAGACCAGGCTGGTGTAGACTGCCTCTGTCCCCCAAGTGCTGGGTTAAAGGCGTGGCCGCCACACCTGGCTTATTTTATTTATTTATTTTTGAGGTTTTCTGATATTCATGCTTGTTTGTGACAGGGTCTTACTCTGTAATCTCAGATTTAAAGCAGTTCTTCTGTCTCATGTTCTGAGTGCTGGGACTTAAAAGACTGCAGCTACCATACCAAGTATACAGTGTTGAATTTGAAAGTAGCTCTATTGATATGTAGTTCACATGTATCACATAAACTGCCCATTTAAAATATACAATTTAATGTTTTTTAGTATGTTGATCAGGTTATGTAATCTTTACCATAGTCAACTTTAGGATATTTTTAGTCATTACCAGAAGAAACTTCATGTCTCTTAGCAGTTATTTGCTATTTTTCAGCCATCTTAAGGCAACTTCTATTCTACTTTTTGTCTGTATAGATTTGCCTATTTCAGTCATTTAATATGCATGGAATTATACCATGTGTGGTCTTGTGTGGAAGACTTCTTCCATTAACATAATACTTTGAAGTTCATAGATCATAACCTGCATCAGCATTGCATAACTTTTTAGTATCAAATAGTGTTCCATTGTATGGACATCCTACATTTTATGTATCTATTTTTCATATTATGTATATTTGAGTTGTTCATGCTGTTTGGCCATTTTGAGTAATGCTGCTGTCAACATGTATTTACATTTTTGAGTGAATATATGTTTTGATAATTATCGAGTAGTCAACTGGTAATACTATATTTGACCTTATGAGAAACTGCTAGTTTTTTTCCAGACAGCTGTAGCCCTTCAAATTCTCAGCAGTAGTGTGTAAGAGTAATCTCAGCACTCAGGAGGTAGAGGCAGGTGCATCTCTGAGTTCAAGGCCAACCTGGTCTACAGAGTGAGTTCCAAGACAGCCAGAGCTACACAGAGAAACTCGGCCTTGAAAAACAAAACAAAACAGAACAGAACAAAATCAAAAAGTCAAAACCAACTAACCAACCAAACAAAAAGGAGTTCCAGTTTGAGGGCTGGAGAGATGGCTAAGTAGTTAAGAGCACCTGCTGCTCTTCCAGAGGCCCTGGGTTTGATTCCCAGCATCCACATGGCGGCTCACAAATGTCTGCAAATCCAGTTTCAGGGAATTTGACACCATGTTCTGATCTGTTTGGACACCAGTCAAGCATGTGGTGCACATGTATACCAGCACACAAAACACTCAAACACATAAAATAAAATAAATGATTTTTAAAAGGAGTTCCAGTTTTTTTCACTTCTTTGCCAATATTTTTTTTAAATCACTATATCTATTCTAGTGGATTACAGCATGTTGATTTTTGAAGTGTGTCAGTATATTGACAATGTAATATCTAGTCCAAAACTAACATAAAAACACTAGAAAGACACTAGGAAGAGAGACTGAGAGAGATGGCTCAGTGGTTAAGGGAATTGACTGCTTTTCCAGAGAACCTGGGTTCAATTCCCAGAATTCACATGACAGTTCACAACTGTATGTAGCTCCAGTTCTAGGGGGTCTGAAGCTCTCTTCTAGCTTCTGCGGGAACCAGGCATACATGTAGTTCACAGACTTACATTTAGGCAAGATACCCATACTCATTAAAAATAATTTAGAATTTTAGAAAAAGGGACTCTTAAAAAAATTGGAAGAACTAGGAGCTCAGAAAGAAAAGTGTTAGCCAGCTAGTTGAAGTGTCAGGGTGTGGGAGATGGTTTCAAGGCAGGGACAGTGTCCAGGTTTCCCCTTTAGCTGGTGTCAAGTGCAGACACAGTTTCCTGCTAGGCCTTCCTCTAGCACACCCATATCCACTGCCCAGAGTGGTCTTGGGTGTAAAGGGCCACCCTCAAGATGCCTTACACTCCGGTAGAAGGAACCCCTAGAAAATGAGTGACTGTAGTTATGTTAGATCTTGAGACTGGGATTCTGTGGGCCAGGAGGTCCTTTTGTGAGCTTCCTCCACACAGAGTTAGGTCATTAGATGAGGCTGCTTTAGCCATGGTAGTGGTGTGGGAAACAGAGTGAGCCTTTAGGGGAGACCTCAGTATGGGAGCTTACGTATGACTTTGCATTTATGTTTTGGTATCTTTAAGCTTTATGACGATGGACAAGTTCCATTTTCCCCAAAGCTCTCATTAACTATGGCAGGGGACGCCTGCCTCAGCATCGCTTCACAGATAGGTACTCATTAGTTGTAAGGGGGGGGGGGCTTTATTGTAGAGAAAGATGGCAGACACCACTTTTACTAAGGGATCAAAGTTAGTATCAACCATGAGGCAACTAGACTTCTGAGAAAAACAAACTGCCCCTTTGTGGAATCCCTCCCCAAATTTATAACCTGAATATAAGCACAAGGGCCTAGGGAGATGACTCAGAGGGTAAGAGGCCTCCTGTATAAACAGGAGGATCTGAATTTGGACCTTCAGCACACAGTTAGAAGGTGGTTGTGGTTGTGGATGCCTGTCATCCCATATACTGGAGGGGCAGAGACAGGTGAGTGGGTCTTTGGGCCTTACTGGATAGTCAGTGTAACTGAAACAGTGACTTCAGGTTCAGTGAAAGACCTGTCTCACAAAGTAAGGTGGAGTGTGAAACACTGGAATGCTTCTAAATTAAAACAGACTGAAGGGCAAATAGAGACGAAATGCCACACATGGTCCTGGATTAGTTCTTGGATCGAAGAAAATTTTCTCTTTGTCTATTGATATAACTCATATTGCCATAGTCAATGCTATTTGTACAGTGGGTAAAAATTAATTAAGGGTTGAAGCTGGATTAGATGTAGGGTCAATATTAATTTCCTGATTTTGATAATGATACTGTGGAAATATGAGGGAATATTCCTGGCTTTTAATGAAGTACCACATATTTAGAGATAAAGCGGTACCTATAGCAGAGAGAATGATAAGGAAAATTTGGTGAAACATTAATAACATTTGAATAATTCAAGTGAAGGCTACATATATATATTCTTAGGAACCAATTTGAAATTTTTTGGTAATATTGAAATTAGTTTGAGATAAAAGGATAAAAAGAGTTTACCTGACTCAGGTCTCAGGATGATGTCTAGTACCAGGTAGACTTTGGACATCCTCCAATAAGCAAGGATAGTGGTAGCTCTTACACATGATTTGGGAGTCAAATTCAAATGAACCTATGTTTGGGACTGGAGAGATGGGTCAGTAGCTAAGAGAGAAGGATCCATGTTTGTTCCCAGTACC